GAGGTCGGGTGTCGTGTCAGCTCATCAAAAAACATAGCATTTCTCCAGCACACACATATGTACATATGTACTTTGATGTTTGTATTGAAATTTATGGTGCGTTGCTGGCTGAATAAAGGCAACAAGCACACGTAGCGCAGATAAGCAGGCAACAGTAATAATCGATACAAGAAAAAAAAATTCTTGTTTGATGAGAAAGTGCATACAAATTGGGCAATTGAGCTTATGGATTAAAAGGGAAGGGAATAGCAACCAAACTGAAGCTTGCGAAATTACCGTTATATATAAGGCACTGATAATTTGTACTTAAGTGTGGCTGGCATTTCCTGTGCTATACAACGCAGGTTAATGAGCGAAATGAAATTTTCAGAAGTGCAGAGTACACTAAGATAATGATATATGCTACTAAAGCCATTAAAAACGAAAATTTTGCCTTCACTTGCTTTAAAATATGTATTTTTTTACTCGTATTCTGCTTGATTGCCGAACTTTGGCTCATTAAATGGCCATCGGTATGCTTTACGAGCAAAACCCAAAAATATTATTTCCTGAAATATGTGTTTTTATTAGTTCGAAGTGTACACAAACGATGTGACTATCAGTCACTGAAGCTTTCGGCTGATCGATGTGCGCAGGCGACGGCCACACAAGCACATAAGCCCAAAAGTATGCAAGCAATAAATGCAGCACGTACCAGAGATAACATCTAAAATTCCGTTTACTGTCTCATACCAGCCTGCCAGCTGCTAGCCGACGCACCTTTGAACCCCTTAGAGCCGACAGCCTGTGTATACAAGTTAACCACTTTTTAGCCTAAAAGTCAACTGAAAGGGCGCCAAAGAAAATATTATTTGCTGTTTTATGGGCCATCGCCCAAAACGCCTAACAGTTGGTTCCGCATGCTGAACGTTCACTAGCGCCCAATTGTATGTATGTATATCGAATTGAATTCACTATACACACATTCACATAGTTGATAGGGTGCAGGGCAGGCAGCTGTGATTTGTTGCTGTAAAATGTACACACAAAAAATAAACACAACACCAAATAAGCAATTGTTGAGCTACAAGTTTGAGAATATAAAAGCAATGGCCGTAATAATGCTTTTCATGGCTATGTATGTATATACATATGTGTGCTGTAGTCGTGTCATTGAAATGGTAAAAAAACTTTTCGACAGGCAACGCATTTGTGCGCCTATTGCAAGGCTCCGTAGAAGAATAATTTGATTATTTTTAAAATCGCCCAAAAGTAGGTAATGCTAGTACCAAATCAACCGGCACGTAACGGAGTTATGCATAAAAAATATGGCCGTGCTTTGGCCCGTGTCCCTTTTGCTGCCTCATACATTTTGCATATGCAGATAAATCTACAGCAAGTTAATGTAATCGGATTTGTATTGCGTGAAAGTAGTAATTTGTTAGCTTTTAAGAAGACGCCAAACAATCATTGCAATCGGAAAACATAAACTAATAGAAATTTAAGCGAAGTGCCATTTTATGGAATAGCTTTCCAGACTTGCTGAAAGTGAGTAGAATTTAAATGAATTTGAACTCAAGTGTTGATAGCGCGTGTATCAAAGTGGAAAATAACTTTGCCATTGCTAATTACAACGCTCTTCGTTTTACATTAAGACTATTTTGTCTGAATACGTGTAAATACAAAATAAAGGTTGTTTTTTAAGACGTGTGATTTTCAATGAGTCGTTAGTCGGTTTATACTTAACATTTGCAAGAATTGAGCGGAATGACCCTCGACCGCGTCGTATGTTCGAATGGACCGAAAACGAGATATCAATCGGTCACCATTTTAACGAAAAAGTTTTGTTCAGCGATGAAGTGAAAATTTGTTTAAATGGGTATGGTAATAAATGAAATTATCGCCCTTCAAGTGATGATGTTGTTGTTGTTGTTGTTGTTGTAACGAAAGATTACGTAAGATGCCGTTGACGTCATCTAACGGTCTAAAAGTCGCAAGAAACGTGCTGTTTCGACTGGGTCGGAACATAGGGAGGGGGTTGTCAGATGTGTGGCTTTGGTTGAGCATGCAAAGAGATGTCATACGGAGACTCTTTGCATGGGGAACATATATTGGATATGGGGTCTCGAGATCTTCGTCTGCAAGAGAAAAAGATTTAACTCCAAGTACGCCATTCCCTGAAAGAGAGACGGTGTTTATGGCTTCAGAGTGAATGGCGGTCAGTGCTTGTAGGAAATTAGTTGCGTCCGAAGTCTAGTCGATGTTTTGTCTGATGTCGTCGTCGAGGAATGACCTTTTGATATTCCTAGGAGGCGGTGCCGCTCCAAGCAGGTGACTGCAAGGATGACTTCTGTGAAAGCACACCAGAAGGAACTTTTTAGAGAGTTCAATAGGCGACATCAAGAGGCATCCAGCCTTTTTTCTCAAAGCAGTATTCTGCCAAGTTTGGAGTTGTCCCGTCCTCGTTTCACTGCATCCAAGGCCGATTACCTATCAGAAGTCACACCTAAAATTATAGGATTATTGATAGGCAGAATCTTGATGCTATCGATTGCAATATCAATATCGGCGGGGAAGCGAGAAAGGTCGGATATATAGCCTTTGAATACATGCCATCGATCCCATTCCCTGACGTCAATATCGTGAAATACAATATTAATCTACTAGGTGAGATAAATTCCCTCTGGTGGCTCTAGGAGTTTCGGGATTTAAAAGTTAAACAATAGAGGGAAGAGGACACCACCCTCCGGAATCCCTTGTTTTATTCATCTCAGGTTTGAGTTGTTACCTCGATGTAGTTTTTTCGATGTCCTGCAATAGCATGATATGGATGACTGTGTCAAAGGCTTTTGCGAAGTCCAACGCTACGAAGATCGTTCTTTCGTAGGGTGATTTCTGGTTAAGGCCACGAATTATCTTGACGTTTATGACGCTAAGTGCTGTGCTGGTACTGTGTACTTTGCGAAAGCCATGGTAGTGGTTTTCAGGGCTCAAGTCGAGTGTTGATAATACACAAGTACCTATTGTATTGCTTTAGAATTCGACTACTCTTCGGGCCTGTTCGCAGAGGTCTGAAGAAATGGCCACTGAATAGAACTTGCCGAAGATTTGGCCTATTTTGTAATAAAAAACAATCGTATTTCGAATGTTAACGTCCTTCTTTGTCAAAAAAAATTTCTTTGCTCCAAATTAATGTTTTTTCAGTTTGTTTCATATACATGTATACATGGATAAGAACATATATATATTTGTGTATAACGTTTAACATCATAAACATAACAATCTTCTCTATATATCGATTTGTGTTGATTTTAGCTGAGAACCGGGAGTTCGCAAACATTTAAACGGATTATATCATTAATTACTTGGGATATTGCATACACATTTTTTCACAGCTCTGCTATATTGCTTCGACTAGCGTTTCAACCGAAAACGCACTAAGTGGCAGTCGCCCTCTGAACACACTTGCCAAGGGCAGCCCCCATAATTTATTATTATTATTTGCTTGGTCTGTAGAAGTTTTTTACTTTCATGTGCGAAGTGCTAAAAAGTATATCAACACTCGCATTTGTTTAGAGCGTTGCAAGGCGTCGGAGAAAACGTAAATGGGCGCTGAAGGGCGGCGAAAGGTACATGCATAAACACCAAATAAAAATAAGACTAGAATTTTGCAATGCAAAATAGCAACAACCTAAGTGCATACCGACACACACACACATACAAGCATACAAATGAAGTAGGGCGAATTTGCATGGATTGCAAATGCGAATGCAAATGCCAGCGAGAGCAACGGCGAGCCAAAGACAGGAAGGCAGACAGATAAGCGAACGAACTGACAGAGATACAAACCACACACACACATATACGAAATTCCACGAATTACTTCGCCATGCAGTATACACTAATGCACTAAATAGCCAAAGCAACCAATGACATACTGCAAATGCACCACCAATGTTTGCGTGTGTGTGCGGCACTCAAAGCTCCCTTTGCTGTCACTGTGGCGCTGACTGTGAATTAAGTTAAAAAAAAAGGAATATTGACAACGCGTGAGCGGTGCTTTCAATGCCAAAACCGAAAATTGGCAGCACTCAAAAGGTAAACGAATTTGCGAAATGCCAATCGAAAGCAGCGCGCAAAGCGAATAGCTGAAGGAATGCGGTTGCAGTGGCTGGTTTGTGCCAAAAAATACTCTGTTCACATGCTGGTGGCGTTGCGCCGGTAAACACTTCATAGATTGAGATAACATTTGCACAACTCGCTCGCACATACACACGTGCATGCGCATGGCTGAATAAACTAATAAGCATATGAGGCGCTAAAAGCTGAGCTACGAGGGCTAAGTCTGATTTATGGCGACACTGCGACTCAAGCTGCCGCAGTCCATTGCGTTAAGCCACTGTATGGCTGCCAACCAAGTATTTGGGGGTGTTATACTAACTATATAACACACGCGATTACAATTTGTGCCGAAAGTAATAATTCAAAACGTAACGGTAACTGTCGAAAAAGTGTCATTTTAAGTGGTGTTATTTTAATCCACTTTAAATGCCACGCTGTTCGCACTTCTTACTCAAACACTGCGAATCAAGAAAAAGCATTGAATGCTAAAATGAGAACTTCTGCCAAGCCATCACTCTCGTTGCACTGCGCGCTGCTGTCGCCATCAGCTGCGCAAGTGGTAGAGAACTTGTAAATGCAGCATGTTATTTGCCCAAAAATGACGCCACTTGCATTTGCATATGAAAAAGTTTCGTGAAATAAAATTCACAAAGAAACTTTTACTCGAACGCCGGTCTTGTTGTTATTCTTTCACAACTTATCCATGCCGGCAATTGCGGCAGCTGTTGATTTAAGTTGTTGATGTTGATAACGGCGTACATCTGTTTCGACTGCTGCAACTTTTGCGCATATAATTTTGTAAATCACAACTTGTAAATCTGAATAATTGGCGCGCTAAATGCGCGCGCTCAACTCAGGTTTCACAAGTTCTAACTAACGGCTTGTGTATAGTTACTAACCTGAATTGGGCTGTCCATTGCTGTTGGGTCGTGCCGAGGGCGCGCCATCGCGTGCTTCTACCTCCAGCGCATAGGCGCCTTTCTTCTCTCTGTCGAACACGGTTTTGGTGAAGATTTCGCCACTCTGCAGATTTATTTCGAAGAATTCTTTGCCTTCGTTGCGCGGTGAGTCGACAATGTAGTAATAGACCTGTGAAGCAAAGAGAAATAAAGTATTGTCAACATGAGGGAACTTATTATTATTTTAAACTTTTATATTAAGAGTTAAGTATAAGACTTCAATGTCGTTTATCAAGTATTTCTTATTTTGTACCTTTTGGTGAGAATCTACTGGTATGTTCCTTTAATAGGCGTGTAAGTTGCAACGAAGTTGAATTTCTGATGTTTTGAAAATTATGAGGAAACTGGTAGAATCGGCTAAAAGCGAGGGCAAGAATACTAATTAAAACACCCCTTTATGCAAAGCAATTTACATCCATTGATGCGCAGTGAGCTCGTAAGCTACCGACATCTGTGCCGCAAGAAAGGCATAAGCGCATTGCCCAACGAAGGGTGTGCCAAACATTTTAAGAGCGGTAGGGGGACAAAAAATTCAATATCTTTGAAATGGTATGAATGAACACAATTTTTTTTTGCAGATTTGTTTAGGTGAATATTTTCCGCGTTGTGTCACATACTTTTCAGTTTTTGTAGAGTTAAGAACACATGCAAAATTTCATTTGTTTAACCAAAAATTACGTAAAATATTATTATTTAAACAAAGGGATCGTGATACAAGAAAAAAGTGAACTTCGGTTGCACCGGTGCATTTATGTTAGTAACCAGGTATTCAGTTTGTATGGCAGCTATATGCTATAGTAAGCCGATCTGAACAATTTCTTCGGGGATTACATTGCTGTCTTAGAAAATAATCTATACCAAATCTCGTGAATATATCTTGTCAAATGCGAAAGTTTTCAATACAATGACTTGATTCCGATCGTTCGGTTTGTATGGCAGCTATATGCTATAGCTTCTTGAAGAGAAAATAACGTTTGCAAAATTTCAAAAATAAATCATAAAAATTGAGGGACTAGTTCATATAAATATTGTTACAGACTGACGAACAAACGGATAGACAGACGGACATGGCTAAATCGACTCAGCTTAATTAATAATTTTGATGAAATATTTATATCACGGAGTAAACGCCTGGTGACCTTCCTAATGAACTGCTAATTTTCAAAATCGGTGATTTTTCGAAATTTTCATGGACAACTTGAAGTGGTTTGACCCTTAATAAATGTTTCAGATTTTCATCGAAAATTCGTATTCAGCGATGAGACTGATATCTGGCTGAATGGCTTCGTAAATAAGCAAAGTATGCATTATTGGCCAGGCAGCCATGAGTCACCATTGCATTCCGAAAAAATTAAGATTTGATGCAGTTGAAGGGCCGACGTCGTCACAGGGCTGTACGGCTTCCATGATCATTAAGACAGGCACCTTACCAGCGACGATTGATGAACCTTATATTAATATCCAACGTGAAATTGCAGCAGTATCGGCATTGCGACTACTGTACTCGCGCTGCTTGCCATGCATAATAGGAGAGTTAAGTTGCTATTTGAATTTTGAAATTCAATAGCTAATCTAATAGACAAGTCACAAAGATAATAAAAATCGCATAAAAGTACAAAAAGCAATTATTTTAATGGCTTTCTCTTATATACTACTACATCTTGACTAATTGAGACCAACCGTTTGAACAATTTTTGTAATTTTTTATACTTAATTTTGGTACTTTTTAATGTAATCTTCACACCTTGTTTTTAAGTGTAAACTTCTCGAAACTACTTTCAAAAATGTTACTTTTCTTCCCATATATTTTTAATATTATTGTTACTTCATAAGTTYCTCCGAATTAAAATCTCTAATTTGGGGAAGTTGTGAAAACCAAAACACACAAGTGCATTAGGGCCAAGGGGGCTTACTTTGAGTTGGACGACATAGATTTTGAAGAATGAATTAAGAATTTTGAAATTATGAACAAAGTCTTACTATATTGTATATATAAAGGAAAAATGCTGAGCACTTTTGGCTAAAAATGCTACCGCTCTGTATTATTACCGATTGAGAAAATATGCGAACATGTTAGACATGAATTAGAAGAAACTTGTGAAGATAAAATATAATATAATATAACCAAAAGGTCTTTTGGAGTATTTGTTAAATGGTTAAAAGTGAGGGTACAAATGAAAATTCGTGCAGCCTTTACACATTTCCAAGAAGACGTTTCGAAAGTCAAAAGTAATATTTCTTTAAAGTGAGGCATCAAATAAGGGAAAGCATTAAATAATTTAGATATATGTATATAAAATATATTTCCGTTTTTACTTTGTAGCTTTCAACGCAGCTACATACTGCTAATTTCACGTGGCCTAAGGTAGGGCAAGTACAGTAAAAAAAATACCCGCTGCAACTGTAATATTTGAAGCCGCTATTTACAAAGGACCGCAGATTACTAAGCGAAAGCGGTGTAAAAGAWGTCATGCGCACACACCTACTGACACCACTTCATAGGCAGCATTTTCCAGCGTTTCSTTGCCTGCGGTTGGTCGCGCAGCTTTCTTATACATTTTCAGGCTCCTTTTTTGACATCGCACGTAATGCATTTGGACATTTATTAGCGTGAAAATGTGAGCAGATGAGAGCATAAGCCCAAAGCAAATTAACCAGCTGTGGTAGAGTTAAGAGAGCGGCGCTGACAAAACCTTTATTTGTATGAGCTGGATATTGAAATTTTTCTTAATTTTTTATTTTTTTTTATGGAAACTTACAGTCGCATGCCCGTAAGCGATTTTTTATTTCGTAAAGCATATTGTAATTACAACATACTTTTTCCGCCACTAACTCTGCCACGCCGAAGCCATTTTGCTTTCTACCTATACATAGAATGTTTTCAGTTTCCAAGTCAACGCCTTTGCGGAATGGCTCATGCTAGCGCCTTACACGCGTAAACTTTGTGCAGCATTCATTCCACTTAACTGATTTCGACACTTATTTGCTAATTTAGTTGCGCTGGACCGGCGCAAGCTCGCGCAACTTTCACACAATATTTCATGCGCTCTCTCGCGCGTTACGCGCTTTCTACTTTACCACCCAGATGATCCCATTTACCACGCCGTAATAAACACAGAATTTTAATTATAGCATGATTTGTTTTTCTCTTCGCGACGCTTTTCGTCGTAAGCGCAAAAGGGGTTTGATAAGAAATTTTTGAAAAGTAGATAAGCCTTTTTGGAATATTGGGCCGCCACAGTGAACAATGTTGGGCGATTTGCATACTGCCAGCCAGTTTAGTAATGAGGCGTATGTCTGGCAGGCGCTTATCAGCCGCTCTCACACTTGACTGCACTGCTGCATGCGCTCCATATACCATAGTGCAGACCATCGCTTGCTCGTCATGCATTCCTGTGCATTCTGAGCAAATATTTCCGCATCCCACTTCTTACGTGTACTCTTTGTTTTACTTGCAAGTATGTGATTCACTAAATTTACCAAACGGTACTCCATTTTGTTTACCTGATTATTTGGAAATGTGCCATCCTTGTCAATSGCATTCACTTGCGTCACTTTCGTGCCAATGGGTTCACCTTCCAGCACGGTCTCCTGTTCACGCTCCGTAAACAATGGTATCTCGTCGTTAACATCCTCGAGCATAATGTAGACGGTCGCCTCGGATGCCAATTGTTGGGCGCCATTGTTCTGCAAGCACACAGAAAAAATAAAAACAAAGCGTAATCAGAAAAATTTTGTTTTCATTATGCAAAAGCGACAAAATTAATAAATATGCTAGTTGATATGAGGTAATAACTCATTACGTACAGTAACTCGCCGTCATTATAAAGTTAATTAAAACTGGAACAATGCGCCTACGCGCTGGAATATTGAAATAATTGCGGCATTGTTTTTGCCGGCATACTTATCATATGCAAAAATAGCTGACATTTACTTAAAAAAAGTATGTATGCAGAGCTTATTTGTATTTATGGAAAGCGAAACTTCAATTTGCATATGAAAGAATATGAAAATTGATTGACGTACATATTAAAATGCAGTCAAAAGCGTATTCGATATTAAAAAAAGTTTTTTTATAAGACGCCGTTAATTATTTTTTTATACTAACGAGATACGACCTGCTTCATTTATAATTTTTTGTTTTACTTGAAACCTTAAAATATCCATTATACCATTTGAGTTCTTCAAATAGACATATGTGCTTTTACTAAGTGCATGTAAAAGATTAGTAGGTTTGATATGTGAGGCGACTATCGCCCATCAGCCTTACCACGATAACAAGAAATATTGATATGGCTACTGATTTAAGTATTATTGTTTAGACAAAACCGATAATCTTGGGTTTACTTGAATATGAATATTTTTTTATAACCTGATAAGTAATATCTATTATTTCTGCAAAAAACCTTGTTTCAATAGAAAATTTAAGTATAATAGTATAATAAGTACTACCCTCACTTATTAGATTGCATATGACTCGCAAGTCGTAAATTATTTTGTTTTTAAAAAAATTTAATGAAGACGTTCCTATAGTTTGATTAATGGCTTGATATTGAACCAAATGGGTTTGCTCATGAAAGTGCACAAGACGAATAGTAGTATATAATGTAATGAGAAATCATATTTTCGAAGAAGCTTCTAGAAATTGTTATCTAAATTGGCATCAGCACAGCTACGGAACATTAGCCTTTTCTTGAAAACCAAAGAAAAATCAGACATTATAATTTGTATTTCGTTGACGTCTATATTGTAGATAGATATATCACTTGCTATAGCTTTTGTCATGAAAACAGCGGAGAAGGCATTTGTAGAATAATTCGCGAGGAATAATTGGGTAAATATTTACCGATTTTTAGTCATTAGCAAAGATAACTTTAGTATAACACGGAAGATAATATGCATTGGCATAAAAAAGCACCCGGAAATTGAAAAAAAATTCCATAGCTACCAACAAATATGAGCGGGATTTGTCAAATAGTTTCTTTACAGCAGCTACTTAAGTCGGTACACTTCAGTAATGCGTTGCCATTTTTGCAATCAATAAAATTATCTAACAAAGAATTTGTGTCAAATTATGCATTTCCAACAAATTTTCATATTTATAACCAAATTACGTGTACGAAATTATTCCGAATGATTGAACAGACTTTCGCTAATTCAGTTTTGTACAAAGCCTACGAGTGGTACAAAGCCTCAAAGACGGTTGAGAAATCGTTGAAGAGATGGCTCGTTCCCGACGACCATCGACCTTCGCTGCATGAAAATCGTGAGTCAAGTTTTTGAGAGATGGCAAGAGAGCTCGACGTCTGTCTCGAGTCTGAAACGGGTTTGTTCAATTCGATAAGCTGAATTTTTTTTCGATTGTAATCGAATTTAAAGCCAACAAGTAAGGAAAGGCTAAGTTCGGGTGTCACCGAACATTTTATACTCTCGCATGATAAAGTGATAACCGAGATTTCAAGCGTGGTTGTGAAACGGATTTCACCCATATTTGGTACATGTCATCAGGGTATTAAGAAACTATTATATACCGAATTTCCTTGAAATCGGTTGAGTACTTCTTGAGATATGGTTTTTGGTCCATAAGWGGGCGACGCCACGCCCATTTTCATTTTTTAAAAAACAGCCTGCATGCAGCTTCCTTCTGACGTTTTATGTTAGTCGGTTA